GGGCGGTCATGGCGGTGGCGGCAGTGGAAGCCTGGGAGGCTGAGGAGGCATCGGAGTGGTAAGGTGCTGCTTTTTCCCTTTAAAAAAAACTGTTCTGGGTGGGTTTTGGAGGGTGGGTTTGTGCTGGGGGGTTATGCTTCTGTGTTGTTTTGTTTTTTGGAGATTTTTTTTTGCAGTCCCAGCGTGTGACTTGCTCCAATGTTTATTTTTGGATTTGTGTGATGTTGTTTTTGTTTTGTTTTTTTGCAGTCCCAGCATGGGACTTATTTTAATTTAAATTTTATTTATTTATTTGTTTAAATACTGGAATGGATTAATCCCGTTCCCATGCATTTCAATGGGAAATGGTGCTTTGACTTACAAGCATTTCCACTTACGAACATCTTCTGGGACGGATTAAGTTCGTAAGTCAAGGCACCACTGTATTTTATTTTGCCAGTTTGTACCATTGATTTTTATAAATGGTACAAGCTGAATTTTTCCTTTTATTGTCATGAGCTGATCTTAAGACTATTTCTGTTGAAGGACAACAATAAAATTAATTTAACAATAGCAGTTATAACCCAGATGAAGCTTATCATAATCAAGAAGTAGCTAATTCTTGTTCAATGCCCAGGAATCTTACCATCTGATAGTCATTCTTAATCAGTTTGATTATTCCTGTGTATCAACGTGTGCAATTTGATACGTAAAGTAGGTTTAGCCATACCACTCATTCACTTAGTATGTAAAAGCATTTTCGGTCATTCGGTCATTCTGCCACCCTTGACATTTTTAGGGCCAAACAATATATGACAAGTATTGTGCAGCTTTCAGGTTCCATGTGTGTTTGATTGTTGTTTGTTACTACTACAAATGCAATCCTCCTTGGGTCCTTTTAAACTCTCTCTCACACACACACACACACACTCACACACAACACACTCACACACACAGGGTGGGGAAGGATGGGCAAGCTTCGTTCCCTAGATTTCCAGTGGCTCATTTATTTGAGCTTAAAACTCTTTAGCTCTGTGCTTTCGTCCTTGCACGCCAGCCCTGCCAGGTCGTCCTCGTTCAGTCGCGTCCGACTCTTCTTCGTGACCCCTTTATGGACCAGAGCACATGCCGGGCCCGCCTGTCTTCCACTCCCTCCTGGAGAGTTGGGTCAGATTCACCGGGCCTTCTCGGTGGTGGCTCCTCGCCTCTGGAACAATCTCCCTCCGGCGATTCGCGCGGCCCCC